GGCTTCTATAACAAGTAGAAAATGGATTTTTAAAAGAAATTTGTACATATTGAATTTATATGAAAAGCACAGAGAAAAAAATACATAATCTTAATCTGTAAGAATTTATTTCAGTGCAGCAGAATATCTAGTGATGCAGCAACCCAGTTATCAGCTAAGAAAGAAATTTAAACTTGAAATTATTGTTTAATGCGATTTCCATTGTTCAGTTTATGTTCCTATACTGTCATTAGTGTAAATAAAAATGGAATTTGAATGTCTGTCAAACATGTAATTTAATGCTTATAAAAGTGTGATGGGTGGAAAACATTATTCATGTGTTTTAAAAATGTTTACACATTTGTCATGTTTACCCACACATTATCTTACAGCTGCATAATTATTGCTATTTGATAGTTTTCTCATGCTCTTGTTCTAGTTTGGGGCCTGCCCCTGAAATACATAGGTGCATGGCACATCAGAACACTTCAACATGGTTTTTCTGCATCCTACAATCTCATGCCCCAGCTGGAAGGTCCCTTCAAAATTTCTTCAGGGTTTTTCTAGTTCCATTATTAGGCTCTTGCTTTGAAATAAAAGCGCAAATGCATCCTTGTAATCTATTTACACATTTTGTTAAAATTTCTGTAGTAAATAAATTGATGGAATTCATGATAAAACATAAGACCTGTGCAAAACTTACCTCTCCATCTGACAGCCCTGATGCAGACTTCCTGTTACTGATGCAGTCTTTGTCCTCTCTTCAGTTCAAAGGAGGCTTGATGCAGGCACAGCCCAGTCTTATATGTGATACCTGCATGGCTGCAGCATTGCCAGCTTGGACCCCGGGCCAATGGGAGGAAACATGTGCAAAGGACCATCTGCAATGGAAAAACAAATCCTGTGAAAGATTTGGTGGATTTTGCTGCACTGGGAATGGTGACCAGATGCACAGAGGCTTAATGGCAGATGCTTTCTCTTCTTCTCACTTGGCTAACCTGCATGTTCATTTGTTGCCTTCAGGGGGTCTTGAAACCTGTATCCTTGTGTGAACTCTAAATGCACATAACAATTTTATTCAATGTTTAAATAATATGTTTTAATGTTACTTTTCTATTTGCAGCATTTTGATTCCATGCTCTGTTCACGTTCATGTTGCAAATAAGGATACGAAATTGTCGAATTATTGATGAAAATGTAGTTTACTGAAATATTTAGCAGACTTTAGCCAATTTTCAGTAAAAACAGCAACATTTGCAACTCTCGGTTTTCTTCTTAAGTGAACAACATGACTGAAAGCTTTTGCTCTGATTAACTTACTGCAGTACTTACCTGCTCTCTAATCCATTCAGAGCTGTAAGCCCTCTACGAGCTTTGGAGGTGGACATCTGTAACTTTTATTTCTGTCCCATTCATCGCTCCTCTCCTCGAGTCATTGATGGAAATTGAAAAGTTTTCTCAATATTCTGTTGCAAATTCAAACACATTAACTGATGATTCAATTTAATTAAAATTATGTTTGCATATCATGGCTCTTTTTTCAACTTTTAACACCTATGAGAATTAAATTATTGAACATTTTTGACTGGAAAAAAAATAAATAAATACTTGCAGTGATAAACACCAGTGGTGCTCCTGGAAATTTTTCATGGGGGACCCAGTAAAGATTTTGGGGTGGTTCACCAAATTGGTTCCTGTGGTTACTCTGGGAGAGTTCAGCCTGTAGTAGTGCACTGCATCACTCATTTATTCATTTCTACCACAGACCACTGCAAATGTATTTATTAAATAAGTTTCCCACACATTCAATGTTTATTTAACAAGATTGTGTGAACATGAATGTGTGTGTGGTCTTATTTTTGGACACCAATGTGGTGGCCAACAATTTCAGGGGTGCCCATGGCCCCACTGGCCACCCCTTGGGGGCGCCACTTATCTTTTCTTTTTTTCTATTGCGCTGTAAATTAAAACCATCCGTTCTAAACAGCTGATAAACATGTTTCTGCTAAAGAAATCAGAAACAAATCACTTTTAAAACTTTTGAAACTTTTTGCATGTTAACAAAACTGGTTAAAAATACTCTACAGCTTTCAGGACATGACTCCAAATTAACAGCATGATCCAATAAGACTAGTAATGCAATCCACACTTGTGCTGGCAGGACTTGATTCCCCCCACCTTTAATCCCACTCATTGATAATCTAGAATGAAGCCAGTGTTGGGTTCTCCCTTCAGTCCGATGAAACATACGGCTCCAGCACCTGTGGGATGGTTTGTAGGGTGTCCCTGCTTGGCAGCCATACAGCAGCAGATATATTGGGACTAAAGCCCACGAATTTCATTGACAAAATCTGATTTAACCACTGGCCTTATTTTGTCAATGGACTCCAGCCTCGGCTCGCGTCACCAACTGTTTAGGCTTTGACTCAGCTTTCATTGCTGCTTTGAAAATAAAAGTGCTGCGTGAATGCAGAGATTCTCTCATCATAAACACTGTTGGTTCTCATGTGATGGGTCAGGATGTTCCTAAAACTGGAGACAAGTTGGAAAAGGAGAACTTGACATATCATATGAGAGGTTGTAGACTAGGTAGGTTATAAGTAGAAGTTACAGTAGGCTAAAAACAAAAGGAGACACGATAAACTCAGGTAGTTTATTTCTTCAATTTTTGTAAAGCAAAACGAATAATGTTTATCTAGAGTCTTTTTCACCCATCTGCAGATCTCCTCTTTCTAAATTTTGAAATTCAATATTTCCATGAAAGATTTGAGTGGAATTTTATTCAGAATGTTCTGATGGGAAGTAAGAAATTATTTCCCATCTCCTGCATCTCTTTTCTGCTGCTGGGTTTGTTTTTAAGTTTATATTTCCTAATCCTGAAAACAAAGTTAACACATACACACACGTGCACACACACGTGTACATACACACACATATGCGAGCCTGCATGCACACGCACCTGCAAGAACTCACGTGTGTGAGCATGTATGCACACATGCACACACACGTGTGAATTAGGAATCTGTATTGGTGAAATTCTGGTGACATGATACGTATCACAATACAGGGGGGAAGATACAATATTTCACAATATATTGCGATACATTCAGACAGATGATATTAACAAATTTGAAGACTGATTTTATTCAATAAACAGTCCAAACTGATACGTAACATGTCTAACATGAGGTATCTGAACCATAACGGCGGGATTTACATTTCAATGATGAAAACAAAACCCATTGCACACTGCTGCCAACTAGCGGTCGGCATTTGAATTGCACCAAAAGAAAAGAAAATACACAAATGTTTGCATGTAAATTCTTCCAAAACTTCAATAGACAGCTTTTATTTATTGATATAATATTGCAGGAAAAATATCTAGACATTTTGCCATATCAATATTTTATTACATCCCTAGTGTAATAAAATGAATGCACGCATGCACTCACAGAAGCACACATACACCTGCACACGTACATGTTGGATGTGCACATGCACACACACAGAGGCACGCACATGCACACACACAGAGGCACTCACATGCACACCCGCATACACACACATGAGTGTGCTTGTACACACAAACACGCACACATATCCCCGCCCATTTTAGAAAAGCAGTGTTTGATTGGGACTGCATGTTTTCATTTTTTTAGAGCTTTGTGCAGCTTCTATTTTCTATTTACGATTATGCAGATACAATCTATTAAAACACCACTGCGTCCTGTCTTTATCCTCTTGATGTTGTGTATAACAGCATTTGTTGTTTTGTGTAGTGCTGTCTGTTTACAACTCATTATTGTAGCATGTATGAAAGCCTGTTGTGGCTATCCTAAAAAGCCAGACATAGATACCAGTAGTTAATGTACATTTGTAATTGTATTTTCTTTGACTTTCCAGCATATCTAAATGTATCTGGTGCATTTCAGATGCCACTATAATACTATTTAATGAACAATTGTCCGTTTTTGTACTTTTTTTTAAGTAGTGAGAAGACTGGCTTTGAGTGTAAAAGCCCCACTGGACTAGAATAATCTACCAGCTCATATACAGGCTATTACTTATTTATTTATTTTTTTAAGAACTCTGTTTATTTACATGTCTGTCCCGTCTTGTAACTGTTTTTAAATGTATTATTTGCTAGCTATGTGAGTTTGGTTACATTATTGTGGCTGGATAGTTTAGTTTGCATACTTACAGGTAAATGGGGGTGGGAAAGAAGAAGAAAAGAAGAAAAAGGGAAAAGGAAAAGATAAGGAAAGTAAATGGGAATGTCTGTGTGTTTTGTTACTATTTAGCAACCTGATTTTGTGTTGTCCTTTAATTTTGCTACTGTATTGATTGAGGACCCTCTCAAAACTAAATGTTTTTCAGGATTTTTATCCTCAGAAAATATCAGTAAAAAAACAAATAAATAAAAATGTTGTTATAAAGGCTTTAAATAAATGACACTTCATTAGACTCAACCCTATTCTAGTTCAAAGGTCAGTAATGTGAAGATGACAACACTTGGTGCATCAACCTGGAAGCCCTTCACAATCGTGAAGCAGCTCTCAGCTTCAGCTTCACAAATGTTGGTGACCCCTGCTCTAAGGTTCTGGGTTCCGGTCCTGGAATCCAGTCCGGGTTTTGTGGTGGATTTTCCTGCAGCATCCCAGCCACGCACGCTGTATGAAGTTACTGTTCAAGTAAACACAAACATTTATAGATTAATTTCCTACAATTACTAGATAACAGCTGCCTCTATATAGACGCAGTTGAGTCCTTACGAGCATTTTATAAACACTGAGGAGCTGGGATGTCCTAAAATAACTGATTAAATGAGCTGAAGGGAATGTGCGTTTAAACTGGAAAAAGGAGAGAAATAAGTTTGTTTCTGGGGTGCGCGTGTTCGTTTTGAGGAGAAAAGTGAGGCAACGTGGTGTTTTTTCTTTCTTTCCTTTTTTTTTTTTTTAGAAAAACAAAAAGTGAACTTCCTGTTTCGGGGTGGTCCACAGACTGGAGAAAAGGGAGGGAGGGAATGAGGGGGGAGAGAAGGGGTGCGCATTCCCGCATTGGCTGTGCAGCCAAAACTCCGAGGCGCCTTGCGGGACTCCAGAGCCGAACATGGGGTTCGGGTTCGTCACCGCGTGCGTAAAGCGAAGTTTTTAACGAGTTCTAACGAGAAAAAGTTCGGAGACGCGCTTCTGGAGGAGGACACTGCGTCGGTTTGTGTGAGGACTTTTATCCGCCAGCTTCCAAAAAAGTTAAAAGATACAAAAATAAAAACAGAAGAAAGGAAGCGAGAAGACGAGAGGCTTTACTGGGAACTCTCAGCTCTCTGGATCCTCTCAGCTTCTTCCAGGGAATCTGGGGATCCCTTCAGGATTTTCATGCTGAGTTTTCCTTGAACTAGAGGTAGGACAAGCTGCTGTCACACTTTTAATCGATCATTTTCTGAATGAGCTGATTTGGTCTTAAAAAGTTGCAAAACGTTTTTTTGGGGGTGACAATTTAAATATATATAAGAAAACCCATAAATGTGTACACTGGATTAGATGGTGGATGTTTTATTCTATTCTTTTCTTTTTTACTCCTGATTTTAGTCGCATGTCATTTGTTTAACCCTTTAGACATTTTTTCAGCTGCCAAATGTTTCCCATCTTTTCATAAAATATCCTTGAGATATTTAAAGTTTGCAGTTCGACACAAAATGCTTGTCTTGCTGCATTTCATGGCTTTCAGTCCACGATATATATATATATATATATATATATATATATATATATATATATATATATATATACACTACAGCCACTAAGTGTATATATATATATTCTGATTGCCTTCACATTTTGAGGTTTTCCTTTACAGAGAAAGGTTGCAGGGCAACCAGAGAACAGCTGTTTCTTGTAACCTGAAATACTTTAGGTGCCAATATCTGTTCTACATGGGAGTTCCTGCCTGGACACCCACCACACCGTGACGTTTCAGTGACTGGTTGGTTTTCATTCTGTGGTTTGACTGGAAAAGGCTAAAAAAAAAAAAGAATGAAAAAAGTGCATTGGAGTCTGCCATAATCCATCTCTAACCTGAGGTAGATTATGGGTCCTAATCTAATTATCTGTGAGAGAGTTGACTGTAGCTGCTAATGTGGGAAGATTAGTCTGCTGGTCTTCATGTTGGCGGCCTGGCACTGAAGAGCGTCAACATTGGACTCAATAGAAAGGCCAAACCCTTATTTATTCCAATGTGACAGTGAGAAGTGCTACGTACACAAAGTCACAACCTCCTTTAACAGTATTTGCACACACACACACACACACACACACACACACACACACACACACACACACACACACACACACACACACACAAAAGAAGAAGATTTAGGACTGAGGCTAACATTAACGTTTATGTGTGCTCAGACTGCATTTTATTAAGTTATACAGTTTTAGTTTTTTATCTGAATCCATCATGTTTGCTTTGCTCGTGGTTTTCTACGAGTAAGAAAAGTGCACTTGTCCTTTGGCTAAGTGTGAAAAGCTCTGCAGGGGAGCTTCCTTGCCCTCTCTGGTCTTTATCAAGTGTGTTGAGCCCAAAGGCCTCTTTAATGGGAATGCCCTTAAACAAATAAAGCATACAGGAAGCAGCTGACCTCTAATTGGTCAGTCTGAGGAGGTTTATCACGGCCATATCAGAGGAGTGACAAGTTTCTGCTTGCCTAAGCACAATCTGAGTTTTACTTGAGTGAAACGTGAAGCATTTTGTCATCAAGGACATGGAAGCATGTGTTTCAGTGACAAGGATAAAGATCAGACCTCTGAGGGGTTTGAACGTGTGACACAGGTGCAACCAGAGGCAAGACGGCAACAAGTGGTGTGTTTTTGAACAGATTCCATTTTAGTCTGCGCAGCGAGAAACGCGTCACGTGATGCCTCTGCAAGCCACCCCCTCCTCCCACCTTCCAGAGAGAGAGAGAGAGAAGGGAGGTGAGGGGGAGAAAGACCACCCTCACTGGGATCACAGCCCTTCAGTCAGACCTTTTCACACCCTCTGAACCTGAAACAATCAGGGTTTAATAGCAGCTGTCTGTCTGAGCCGGCCCTGGCTCGGACCAGGCTGAGCTCGGGGTGTGCCGCTGGGCCCGGGATGCTCCACATCACCCAGACTCGCTCCTTTTCTTTGTATCTGCTCCTTGTCTTTGCTTCAGCACACACGTAGCGATTGTTTGAGAGGTTTTTGGCGGTTTCGAGGCTCGTTTGGGTTCATCAGGTTGAGTTGTTGTGGTTTTCAAACTGCAACTTCATTTATATTGGGTCCTTTTGTCTTGTCAACAGATTTGCTGTTTTGTTAGGAAAACTTTCATTTTCTTATCAGATGATACAAATAGCCTCAATAAATACGTGCTAAAAATCTGTGACATCTCTTGCAGATTAAACATTTAAATACTCTAAATGGTGTTGGAATGAAGCAAAGGAGGGGGGGGGGGGGGGGGTTATTAAGTGGTGGGCCTACACCAGAGGGCAAATGCATTAAACACTTAGGATGCTTCAATTGTATTATCCAAAGGGCACTCATCAGAGAGAGGGGAAATGTTGCAGTCATGGGAAATTTTCTGAAAATCATTGTTCATGGTCACGTTTCCCACCCATTAGAGGCCCGTTAGGAAAAATGCACCAGAGGAGATTTAAATAAACCGTCTCTAGTTAAAAATAAATTACGCTCAGACAAAACACCCACAGCGTTTAACAGTTTTTAGATCATTTTATCCCTGAAACATTCAGCTGCAGATCAACTAAAACAACTAAAGAGACAATCAAATCCTGATTGTAACGACGAGCGGCAGTCCTAAACCAATTTTAGAAGCAAATTTGTTTCAATTAGTCGTAATCTTGTTGCGGCCCATAATGTTTCCTCCAGAAAGAAATCTTCTTTGCAAAATTTACCTGTTGACTAGAGGAGGAATGTGCATACGATGCTGCAGCTGGCAATCTACTTCAGCAGATTGCACAAACGATTGCTTGAGGGAACGCTGTAAACGTGCACAAGATGCTGCTAACCGAAAAGGTGGAGCTTCCCAGTCGGCCGTCCATTTAGTTTGAATTTGGGTGGTGGGCTTTCATGCATTTGTGTGTGTGTGTGTGTGTGTGTGTGTGTGTGTGTGTGTGTGTGTGTGTGTGTGTGTGTGTGTGTTCGCGCGCAAAAGCATGCCTGGCTATCGCCTCATGTGGTTGATATTAGAAATCAAACAAGTGCTAATGGGTTCCATGTGAGATGTGAGGAGCTTTTGTTTGCACAAACAACCTGCAGTAATTCTCCTTTTTGCATTAAATCAGCTCAGTTTGTGGTCGTATCCAAAAACGTTCAAGACAATCTGGTCTAGATATTTTTTGTTAACTTGTAATGTCTTTAATTCGTTTTTTAAAGGTGTGCATCGTGCATGCAGGTTCACTCAGAAAGTATTTTCATTTTCACAAGAATGGGTGCACTCATGTGTGTGTGTGTTTATGTGTGTGTGTGTGTGTGTGTGTTTAGCTCTGTGTGTGTGTGTGTGTGTGTGTGTGTGTGTTTAGCTGTGTGTGTGTGTGTGTGTGTGTGTGTGTGTGTGTGTGTGTGTGTGTGTGTGTGTGTGTTTCAATGTGTGTGTTCCCGACTGCTGATGACTCATGTCTTGTACTGTCGGCGGGCAAAAAAAAAGTGAAGAAGAGGCGGTGTTTATTATTTCACGAGGTTGCCATGGCTACGATGCTTTGGGCTGCTGCCTTCATCGGTGAAGTTGCAACATGAGGCTTTACGTCTGCCTGTGATGTTCGCTCGTTTGGAGGAACGCGTTTGTGTTTCCTTTAGCAGTGAAAGGGATTAAAAACAAGCTTTTCAATTTTTTATTTACCTGTTGTTATAATTTCTGCCTTTTTAAGGAGCTGTCTCACCTGTGATGAAGTCTGCAGAGCAGGATGATGTGGAGGAGAAAGTGCAGAGGCATATTTATGTGGTGTGTGTTGTGATGGGTCTTCTGGACAACAACTCTTATCTGAGATGAGATAACTTCCTAAGAATGTTTGCTTGTCATATATTCTTGAGAGACTTGCATCTAATGTCTACATGTGAGGAAATATTAATCAATTGACATCTGATTTCTAACCGATCATGCCGAATTCGGCACTGTTTCATATGCTCTGTTATTCTGTTACCGATGATACGGAGGCTGTCTCTAAAGAGAGAACATCTGCATACTTATTTTTTTAGGTTTCTGTCATTGCAGCACACCATGTAAATTTGAATATCCTGTAGAATGCCTTCTCCGCGTCAGGGATGAGGTCCTGCCTCAAGTGGAGCGCAAGATCACAGGCAGATTGGTGATGCATCTGCAGTGATGCTGGTGTGGTTCCGGTCTGTCATGGTGAAGAGAGAGCTGAGCCGGAAGGTGAAGCTCTCGATTTACCGTTTGATCTACGCTCCTACCCTCACCTATGGTTACGAGCTTTGAGTAGTGATCGAAAGAACGAGATCACGGATACAAGCTGCGGAAATTTGTTTTCTCTGCAGGGTGTCTGGGCTCTCCCTCGGAGATAGGGTCAGAAACTCAGTCATCCAGGAGAGGCTCGGAGTAGATCTGCTGAGGAGGCTTGGGCATCTGATTAGTACGCCTCCAGGATTCCTCCTTGGTGAGGTTCTCCGAGCACGTCCAACCAGGAGGAGACCTAAAGGAAGAACCAGGACACGCTGGAGGGACTATGTCTCTCGGCAGGCCAGGGATTGCCTTGGGATTCCTCCGGAAAAGTTGGCCCAAGTGGCTGAGGAGAGGGAGGTCTGGGCTTCTCGACTTAGGCTGTTACCCTCGCGACCTGACTCCAGTTAAGCTGAAGAGAATGGATGGATGGATGGATGGATGGATGGATGGATGGATGGATGGATTGCAGGCGTGTTCCCACTACAGCCACTAAGTGTTCATCCAAAATTATCACATCCAAAATTATCACATCCAAAATTATCTATCCCTTTCTAAGATGTAGGGATGCAAAACAAAGTTTTAAAGCCGGAGGGTGGCTTTGCCAATGTCTGCAAGTTTTTTTTATCTTAATGGCACGTCTAAGAACTTGTTTTACCCAACCTCCAAGATTTTAAAACATGAGCTTTACTTTGTGTTTCTTCTTCTTCTTTCATTACCTTCCTTATTTTTCCAGATGTTTCCTTTTTCTTTGGATAATTGATCCCCTTCACCTCCACTCATCTGCTCTCTCTCTCTCTCTCTCTCTCTCTCTCTCTCTCTCTCTCTCTCTCTCTCTCTCTCTCTCTCCCTCTCCCCCTCTCCTACGTCTCTCTGCTGCTCTGCCTTCGTGCAACAACTTTATGTCTTTCATTTCTGGTTTTCAATGATTGTTGTGAGAAGCCTAATTGATGGCACATTAACCAGA